CACATTCGACCCCACATTACTTTTCTGGCAAAAATAATTGACTCATTCTTTGCTCTGTCATGAAATAAATGAATGAATACAGACAGACTTTCTTCTTTTATAATTTGGGAATTGTTCCTGTGCAACTCCCAAGACTGCTATACCTCCTGCTGCATGTCATCTTATTAGTTACTCTCTYGCTGTCAAACCTACTTAAATTTGAAGTCATGCCAGTTCAAAACCTGACATGTATTTTCACTGATGAATGAGTTAGTTCTTAAACCAGCGTTTGAGGGAGAAAAAGAAAAGGAAGTATTAAACTTTATCCAAAGGGCTTCCTATAGAAAGGCTTTCCTATAGAAAAACCAAAGCTTTTAACAGAAGTTAAAAGTGGAAGACTCTGCACATTAATTGCCCCTCCAAGATTCTACTATGGTTAAGCTTCAGTCCAAAAGTTCAGATCATGACCATACAACAAGCTACTCTGAGCCAGAAATATCCTTTCTTTCTGCTTCCCTTGCACTCACATGCAGTGGTTTTGTGTCTGCACATGCTGAAGACCCATCCCCAGAAGTTTCCCAGATACAGGATGCCTGTTGAAAAAAGAACTGTGGGAGAATTTATCTAATATCATGACATTAGAGAAAAAAAAAAATAAACAGCAGTAACCAATTATTTTTATTTACACACAATTTTTTTAATTGTCATCTAATGCAACAAAATACTACAAAATCAAGGAAACATGCAGCAGGTCCAGCAAAGCAGCCAGTGCCTACAGTGCTATKAGAAGGAATAGGAGTCCAGAAAACTGAGGTCGTGGAATGGCTGATGTCTCATGAGGATGCCATTGCTGACACCAGCCAAGAGCTCCAGGATGCTCAGCACAGTACAGCACCAAAACACATACAGCATGGCAAAACACACCTGGTCTTCCAGCTTCTTCAGGCAGCCTTCCTCAGAAAGCTGCTCCACATGGCCTAAGTCCCCTGTGCAGCGAGAATGCTTCCCCTTGCAGCAGCTTTCAGGGACACAAGGTGGAGGATGCCAGGAAGATGATGCCTTCAGCCAGTCTGTGTAGTTGTGGACCCCGCAACACTGCAGCTGCCTCTGCATCACATCCACAGCACTGCTTCCAGGATCCTGGGAGCACGTCCAGTTGTGCTGATGGACAAGGTAATCAATAGCACCTTCCAGCTGAGAAGAYGTCTTAATAAAGTAGGAACGTGCCAGAGCTGCTGAAGACGTTTCTAGGCAAAGAAGGAGCAGCAGCAAATACATGAGAGTCCCTTGTTTATTGCGGGATCTTTTAACAGAAATAGAAAGAGCCAAAACTCCAGTAGGCAGCAAGATAAGTGCAGTTGCAAGAGCCAGCCAACCAGGAAGAGACAAGTAAGACTGCTGAAATAAATAGCTGTAGTTCTTGGACATCAGGATCACCAAAACTCCTCCAAAGGCCTGAGCTGCAGCAGCTCCCCAGAAGATGAAGCCTAGGAACCTCAGCAGACATTGAGCAAAGGACCTGAGGTCAGCACCCTCACAGCACCACAAAGAAGGCATAGCCACCAGAGCCCTGRCCCTCCTCATTCTGCCTGCTCCAGCTGGCCCTCACCCTCCTCACCACCATTTAAGAGGCTTCCACCCCACTTACCCAGGTGCAGCAGATGACATCGCCACCTAAAAACAATTTTCAACAGAGCAGCTCTGATGAGACTCCTTTAGGAGTCTGTCCTCCATCAGCTTAAGWACATGCTGCTGCTGCAGCTGGCTCAGAGTTTACAGAAACCAGGAGAGCCTGTGCCCAGCCTGCTGTGGAAGCTCCCTGAYACTGCTGTCACTGGAGACATTTGCACTTGGAGAAGGACAGCTGGAAAAAGGCTCTACCCCTTTCKTGTGTGGAAGACCTAAACACAGAGCAAGAGCAGAGTGGTAGCCAGCAGTGCTAGCTCAGAATACTTAGGCTGCCCAATTCTGCAGCAGTAGCCAGCATGGCAACGAATGAGCAAGTCAGAGCCATCAACAAATTAAGGGTTTAAACAGGGCTGTTCAATCAGGAATCTCCACAGGTGATACTCACCTAGACTCATTATCCTCCTCAGCGTCTTTATCATTCCTTCAATCTTATAAGGGAAGTAATGATGTTAATAATTTTTTGCCCTTTTTTGCTCGGCAAGATTTCTCTGCAGATAGCTTCATTTACTCCAGACACCTGCATGAGAAATACCTGCCATTTCACACTTGTACCCCTCAACTTACATTACCAGTGGTTTGAGTGACTGCTGTAATGACCCAATGCAAACAACAGCAGCACTGTATTAACTTTTCCTTGTCTGTAAAGAAACTGAATTGCACACCAGCTAAATCACTTTGCACCAATAACAGAGGGAATTGATGCCACTTATCAGCATTATCAGGAGAGTGTTATTACTCAAACTTGTGGCACGCACGAGCCATGCAGCATGGGAAACCTTCATAAATCTTGGTACATGTGCCAGGAAAGCAGATCCCAAGTCCAGCGGTGATTCCCTAATCATCCTGGGGAAGTCTCCTAACATCTCATCAGTTTCTCAAGACACAGAGTAGGACTAATGCAACATAYATACATAAGGGAGAATACAGAGAGATGATCCTCATTTCCAGAAACACAAGCACCTGCAAATCTGGCAGAAAATTGGAATAATTTGGTGCTCAGYTCCCTGGAACCCTGTTAAAGTTTTAGCAAAGCTGATGATCCCACATCTGCCAGACATTTTACAAGGACCTATTGCTGATATATACACTGTGCATGCACAGATGTTGGGCGGATTCCCATCAAAATCTCTTTCTATGTGCTGCACAAACAAGTTATTAAGGCTAATTATTTTGGAATGAGATAAATTGCTTTTATTCTTTTTAATCTTTTCATTAACAGTAATTAGCATGCAGTGATTAACTTGTTAAATCTTAACAAAATGCTTCTTTCAAAGCTGCTCTAGGATGTATGCCTGCCTTCTCTGAAGTCTGTGTCTGGCCTCTCTCCTGTTCAGCCTGCTGCAACTCCCAGCCCTCCTGCTGTGTTGGTTTTGCTGCCATTTGCTTATTCTCTTGAATGTTTTTTCTCTGATTTCTGTCTTCTGCATCAGAGAGAGGGAAAAGGGGGCAACAGAATTCTCCCTCACATCTGCATATGCAGGGAAGTTACACTGATTTTTTTTTCCACAATGCAGAAAAAAAATTATCAGAAAAATGTGAGGAAACATATCAGAAACACATCAGAATATACTGTGAGGAACACCAACTACTTATCTTTAGCTTGAAAGCTTTGTGAAAAAAAGCACAGGAGCCTGCCTCTTTTCCTTTTTGCCCTTTCCCRTGCTCAAAAAGCTAAATGAGATATTAAGAAATTAGTTACAGAGTCATTTTTCATTCTACATCTCTGCTCATGGCAGAACAAATGGGCCAGAGATCATACTGACCACCAATTCAACACTAAATGCCTACTGGGAGCCAGTGCCCAGGGGAGAGCTCTCAATGCCCTCAGGGGAAATAGAGCACACTCAGCCCCATGGAAGAGGAAATTACAGCAGACGAGATTAATATTGGCAGAGTTACCTAAAAGCCCTCTCCCACTTGGTGCTATGCAATGGGTACACATTCAGGAAAAGACAGCTTCTGCTCAAAATGTAAGGTGAAGGACAAGAAAAACAGAGTTAGTCCTTGAAATACCCAAAAGACCTAACTGGCATACTCAATAGCACTGCCTTTGTGCTAAGAAATTTTACCTTTGTGTGTGGACAAAAGATTGAAAAAAGCAATGAGCAGAGTTATCCATCAGAAGACTGTAATGTGACTAATATAGGCAGACAGAATAGGAATGCTCCTCTGTTTTCTTTCCAGTGGTAAACAGCACAATATGATGAATGCCGTCCCTGTTTTCTCTGAAGTTGTTTCTGCTTATGAACTGATGAGTATTGAAATTCAAATGTGGGTGTAACAGATAATACACTGCAGATAAACTATTTTCTGGAAAGTTGCTGAAAGTACAATTCTTCAAGTTAATAAAATGTCAAGACTTGTTTTTTGTTTTGGTTGGTTTTGGTTG